AGCCTTATGAACTCCTCATGGAGGGATGTTCGGGACTGATAAAGATCCTGCCACTGACGCTTACAGGGAGCGCGACAGGGGACCGGGTCGCCGGACAGGCCGGTCAGGCCGAGTCTCCAGAGCGCGCCGGCCGTGAAGACCGTAAAGCGTGAACGCAAGTCACGCCGGGCGCTCGCTGCCTGCCGAGCGGCTCCACCGTTCCACCGGGCGCGCTGTCTGCCTCCAGGCTCTGGGGGACGCGCCGTGGGGCGGTGTCTTGCAAGACACCCTCCGGCAGACGGGAGACGAGGGTGTCGAATCACCGGAGGCTATTGCTCCGTGCTGGACGAGGCAATACCAAAGACGCGGGCGCGGCAGCGGAAAGCTGCGAGCGGTGAGCGTGGCCAAGGAATGATTGGCCGCCCATCGTGAACGAGACGCGGGGGAGCGTCGTCCGAACAGGAAGCCTGGAGGTCAGGCGAGGGAACGAGTCGTCGTCCAGCTTCAGACACCCGACGTCGGCGCAGTAGCTGAGTCAGTGCCATTGTGATGAATTAACATGATATGTCTTTAAAAGGATTTAAACTTGGCTTTATTGGATGTGCGCAATGTAATAAATACATTTGATTTAGCTTAACGAGGACTCGCACAGGAATGTCAACTATGTCAAGGCGCTGGATAAAGCAAAAGGGTGGTGGGTGGGGGGGGGGGGGGGGGGGGGGGGGGGGTTCTCACCCGTGTGCGAGCCAAGAATGAACGGTGGCATGGGCGCCAGCGGATGTGTATGCTTGGAGTGAATGTGGTGGGGCGCCGAATGCATGAAGTCCGCGTGGATTGGTTAAGGCCATGGGGACTCCCAGGGTTGTTGTACAGCGGGCCCTTGCCAGTGAAATTCGCCGTTTGGATGGGATCACTGCCACTTTAGTTGTATTATCAATGCATCTGGTCCCGTTTTTGCCCCTTTTATATATCATTGTCAGCTAAACGGTGGAGTTGGGGTAACATGGTCAAGGCGTACAGCCATGCACGGGGTTCATGATGCCTGACCGGACCTACCATCCTGCGAATGCCCCGGTCACCCGCTTCATCCTAGCTCTGTGGCTCACATGAGCGTGTGTTGACGTCGGGTAGACCGGAGTCGCAACGCGCCGAGTCGTGCGTTAACATCATCTGGCTCGTATGCTGACCAATGAGCTCCTCAGTACAAATTCGCTTTTGTGGGGAGGCGTGACAGCGGCAGCCGACGACGCACAGACATCCAGCGGCGGCCCGGCAGCCGCGCAGAGTACGCCCCCTCCCCCTCCCCCCAACACCACATTTTGTGCCTTGCCATCCCTCTGTCTCACAGGCGGGTTGTAAAATTGTGTGTTTGATCTTCCTTTGATCAAAACCTCTCCATCTTTGCTGTTGTTGGAACTAAGTTTTTAATCATGCTTTTGGAAGCTCACGCTTTTTGTTTCGTGCTCAAGACTTCCGTGGAGTTTGGGCGTATTACGACTCGGAGATCAGCGACAGCGGACGCGGGGCAGCCTTGGGGTTTGCCAAACTGAGAAGCATTATGACGGGAACCACCAGTTGAGTGGAGAATATTTCATTCTTTCCTTAGTCGGTTCAGTTTTTCATCTCCCGGTATTAATATTTCCTTTGGGTCATTAAAGTCCCTGAATAAAGGCAATGATATAATTGTCTTCAGGGACAGGTCCAGAGATGGGAGGGGGGAGGGGGGGGACGAGGCCATGACCCTCCCCTTGAGGCTCCACAAGCTTTTGGTGCCTCGAGGGGCACCAAAATCTCATGTTGACCGGGCACCAAAACTGTCATTTCAGGACACCAGGAGATCTCCTTTCCGCAGATACTAAATTCCAGATGGAACCACAAAGACTCCACACATTTATTCTCAAGAGGCGCCAGATTCCGGGGCCACTACAGTGTTACGTCTGCAACCCTGATAAAATCTTGGGTCGGCCCCTTTGGAGAGAGGACGCCAAAGCTTTCACTCTTTTTGCCTTCTAGTTGAAATATTTCTAGGCATCACCACCTTTGTTTCCAATGGGCAATAGATCAAAGCAGACCTTTTAAAGGTACCAAACTCCCACAGCTCCATTGCCTTTTACCCTGACAAAACTCTGGATGTTTCCGGTTGGTGGATGGACCCAAAAACTTTTATTTCGGGGTATCGTGACCATCATGACCTTTTCTTGTCCAGAGGTACCCGATTCCAGGTGGCACCAAAAAAGGCCCACGGCTCTTCGTTTCCAAGAGACAACAAATTCCAACTGGCACCATAATGCCCGTGCATTTTAACCTGCTAAACTTTGGACGGCTATTCGGGGAAGAAGCATCAAGACATTGATTTCGGGGCGCTATAAGATTTATTTTATAAAGGCATTCAGTTCAAGCGCATCTTTTAAAACGCCCCAGAGCCTTCATTTCTGGTGACACCGAATATTGGGACACCACAATTTCCTTGAGTTTCACTCTAACGAAATGCTGGAGTCATGTGTTTAAGTTAAGCATTTTTTTTTATCTGATCAGGGTGGCTTCAAGAATTTGTAGACGGCGTTTGTCCTGAAATGATTTTAGAATACGTGTGTTTTCAGTCAGATCAGAGCGTGGGAGTTTTTGGTTGTGGGTTTTACGCATATGTTGGTGTGGCTCTCCCTCCTGCAGGTGCATAGTCATGGGTCGTGATGGGGATGTTAACTCATACCAATGTAGGTAGAACTGCGGAGCCGGCAGTCTCTGTAAGGGCATTTAAATTCATACACCATATTGGTGCGCTTTAGTTGCTTTTGGTCCGTTGCCAGTCCGTTTTTCGTTATAATGCTGCTAGTTGTTCTGCTTTTGTAATAGATCGTAAATCTTGTTTCAGTGCGTTCGTCAGTCGGTGTGATATTTGTCCTAATCATGTTCAGCAAAACTTTTTCACCAACGTCTATGCGGTGGACCAGCTGCAGCAATATTTTAGGGCACGTCCTACAAACGAACGGGTGACAGCCGTGCGTATGCATAATTTCGCTGTATATATATATATATATATATATATATATATATATATATATATATATATATATACTCTCTTATAAAGTCTGAGGTGCGACGGGCAATGCGAGGCCTGCACCAGCAATGTCTGGCATCTGACCTCAAAGCCGACGTTCCTCTCAGCAGCAGAAATCTCCCGATGAGTCCTTGGCATGTGTTGCTCCAATGTCCTCCGTTGACCTCTGAAGCTACGGGTTTGATATCCACAAACAGCAAGCATCCTAGATCGGCAGGGCTTTTTAACTCTATTCCCAGGGAAGCCCTCGATGGTGGCTTCTTAGAAGAGCCGCACAGCACCATAAAAAACGATGATCGGTTACGCTTTTCAAGCCAGTCCGCTTCTCACGACATGAAAGAACGAACGGCAGCCCACAGCTTTGCACGGAATCCAGTTCATTAATACGTGACGAGCATTCGAGCCCATCGGTCCCAAATGGCATGACGCTTTAACTCGCCTCGTCGCAAAATGATCATATTCGCCGCAAGATACTGTGGCCAGTCACGATTCCTTCAACTGGTGATAAGCCTAGTTATCTAGAATTTTAAACCGATTAGTATGCGAAGAGAATCTTGACTGAAAAATCTGTAAAAACACTGATCTGAGAGGCATTGAAAAGCAGTGTCACCACCCATCTGTGATGTCAGCATTGATATAGTATAGTTTGTAATATATTTTTATCACCTGCTAAGAACTATTCTGATTAAAGCTGTTATGCTTGGCATATCTTGCGGCTCAACTTGAGCGCAAAGCGTTACGACAAGTTGGCGCTTGGTTAGCGTTTCGATATATACTCTTTACGTGCTCCCGATGTAAAAATTAGTGAGGACAGGCCAATAAGCTTGAAACCTCGTCTAGCTCGGATGGTCTGTTGTAATATGGTCTGGTATGTCGTAACCTGTTTATATTATCGCGATTTCGTCACCATTTCGCTCGCAAAAGTGTCTGTTTTTGTCACTGATCATGTTCGGTTCGTCAAGCTTTTTCACCCCCAACATTCCACTCCTCAATTATTTACGACTCATCTTAGAACCGACGAAATCATACGAAAGTCGCCAATGACCTATTATAAAAGCGGTTTTTGCTGGTTTAGGGAGCGAGCACTGCACAAGTACATTCCAACTGGTGGGTATAAAGCTGTCGCTTTTTTGTCGCATCCTGTCACGATGGCCCAGTATATTTGGATGATTACTGGTGCGTTCTCCCAGCCAGTTTGGCTGAATCTGGGATAGCGTTTGTGATTATGGTTCTCGGACGCCTGCCAGTGTGCTGCGAAGACCTTGCTCATATAGGCCAGTTGATCAAGCTCACTTAGCTAGTTTTATTGCTCACAGACTTTAGGGTGCAATGCAGTGCCGTAGCAGTACGGCCCCTCTAAAAAAAGTACGGTCGCCGCCTCATGATATTTCCTTGACCGCCAAAGGTGAGGGACGTTGGCGAATACCGGGACATGATCTCACACGGGACACACTCACACGTCTGCCTCACATAGGGCAGAGGGCCCGACAGTCTACGAACCGAGGTGGCTTTGCCCGCTCTTGATGCAGTACTTCCCCAATAAGACGCCGCGTATGTCACAGAATGAGCGAGGCAGTGATAGGGATAAGTGCTGCAAATTTATCTTGAAGAAAACCGGACGAAAAGCGGAAGCGCACGATCCACGACTGTCTTTCTGGCTTTCTTTTTCCATTGACAGCTTGAGGAACAGCAGATAACGTACTCAATCAATTTTCAGTGCGCACCAAGCATCATCACCGTCCACATCAGGAGCAGGCGTGGATGACATGCACCGTTCAAGCCCCGCAGACTTCTCGCGCTTAGCAAGCGCTTCGTTCCTTTCAAGTGAATCGACCCATGGCTTGTCAACACGACATCCTCCTCTTTTCTGCACTTCAGTCTGCTGCATCACGATGGGTCGTAGTCAATCGTACATTCAGCCCCGTTATAAGGACTCGCATGCAGCCGTTCTAAACCCGCTCGGTGCGTTACATTGTTTATACTATATTGTCATCATACCGATTTCCAATTTGGACAAAAGTACATACGTAGTAAAATATTTTTCTTCGTGAGCGATATACGTCGTGCGACAATTACACAACACACCTTTATGGCTAAAGCCCGGTTTGAAAAGCTCTTCTCGGATGTCGGACTTACAATGTCTGATTAAGTCGCATTTGACGCGCTTCATCTTGAACAGTACAAACGTACGTGCACGCATATAACTGGCCAGAGCCGCTGCCGCTTATCAGCTGGCAGCCGCGCCATTAGTCCTTTCAACACTGGCCGCGAGTCTGGTCGGGAGGCTGGCGCGCGCTGGCGACGGCGCGAGTCACGCCATCCGAACGCTCACCGCGCCACCTGACTGCTCACCGGGCCACCCGGCCGCTCACCGCACCACCCGGCCGCTCACCGCGCCACCTGGCCGCCCGCTGCGCCACCTGCCCACAACTCAGCAGTCAGCGCCATCTGGGACGAAGCATCACCTGCCACGTCCGGGCGCGGAGCTGAACGCACTCCATCCGTCGCTGCCGCGGACTGCACGTGTGGAAGGATCTATCTGCATCTATGCTACTTCTCCCACATCCACGCATTCTTCGACCTCGATGAAGACAGAGGGTTCCACTGGGCCGCCTTGTCAGGGATTGCACGTGCGGCCCTTTGTGACGCTAAGTGACGCACGCCCCTGGCGGGCTAAAGGGCGTTTGGTTGCCCCGCCTGGCTGAGCGTACACATGTATGCTGGCGGGCCCGAGTGTGAGCACAGGCGCCAGGTCTGGTCGCTGAGCAGCCGGCCAGGTGATCTGCGCTGAGCCCGAGTATGGGTGCAGGCGCCAGGTCTGGTCGCTGAGCAGGCGGTCAGGTGATCTGTGCAGAGCCCGAGTGTGAGCACAGGCGCCAGGTCTGGTCGCTGAGCAGGCGGTCAGGTGATATGTGCAGAGCCCGAGTGTGGGTACAGGCGCCAGGTCTGGTCGCTGAGCAGGCGGTCAGGTGTTCTGCGCTGAGCCCGAGTGTGAGTACAGGCGCCAGGTCTGGCTGCTGAGCAGACGGCCAGGTGATCTGCGTTGAGCCGATGCTGTGCAGGGGGTTTGCGAACGCTCAGACCACAACTACATCTAGATACACTTCTTTGCCGTGGAAGTAACTGTAGGAGTTGTCGAACTCAAGTATATCTGGAAAGACAATGATTCATTCAGTTTATGAGAACAATAATTTGAGGATATCCACACGGAACTGGGTTGACCAGTTCAGGCATGGAAGGATCATTAAGATGCTCAACATTTGCAACATTAACTAACCCGAAACATCATGGAGGCAGCACCACGCATGACAAAATGTCACAAAATGTCCCGGTCAGTCACCGAATGTCACAAAGACAGCAGCACAAATGTGACCTGATAAATACAAAAGAGTCTTTCGAGCACATTTCACCAGGTCATCTTAGAAAGATGAAAGTTGAGCACGGTTGCCTACTAATAGATCGAGGGTTGAACTGCATCGCCGCACTTTATCCACTATTAATTGGCAGAAAAATATTTGATCACCGCGCCACTCAAAAGAAGCACCCAACTTACAGACTCCAGGATCCGAGCAGACGAGTTTGCCAGACTCCACCACCAGATGGCTGTAGACTCGCTCCTTGATCACCAGCTCGTCATTCCCTGCGTTAGATTCACGGTACACCCCGAACAGGATGTCGTAGCCTTTCGTGCAGAATCGCCAGCTGCGGAAGGCGGACAGTTGTACAGCAGTACTCTCGTGTATATGCAGGTCGGTTTGTCACGACGCGGCGCACCCGTGTTGTTTACATATCTTTCTTTCGATGTGTTCGCAGATACCTAGCATCGGGAGCTCAGAACGATGCGCGCTTGACACCCGCTCGGCTCTCGCAGCGAATGATTCCAACGCCACTATTATATTAGAATGCTAGATGGATTATAAAATAATTCAAAATCGTCAACAGAGCACAATCGTAACCCCTTGCGCTCTTCCAGCTGAAACTTATCAATCAAAACCACATGGGTGCTGTTTTGCTCCAACGGTCTGGACGCCGCAGAAGCTTTACTACTGGCACCGTCACCAAAACTGGACTCCAAACTGGACTGATAACTACTAGATTGCTAAACTAAACTGCTGAGCTGAAAAGGTCCAGTCAAAGCTAGTAAATTTAAAATTAAAGTTTGTTGAGCTAAAGTTAAGTAAGGTGTTAAGTGCATATGAGAGGAATATTATGAATATAGGTGGGACAGCAGTAATAGCCTTATTGCTCGTAGAAAAAGCAGGAGACTGGAGAGATAGGTTCGTTGATATTTCGGCAACATGCCTTCATCAAAACCAATATCAGCAATGACGATATCGAATCTTTATCGAAACGAATATCACTACTGATATTCGTTTCAATAAAAGCACATCACCGAAATATTGACGCATCTAACTCTCCAGTCTTCTGTGTTTCTTCGAAGAAAGAGACTATCATTACCGTCTCACGTAAAAGTTAAAGTTAGTAAAGGAAAAAATAGTTCAGTCGAGAATGTTGTTAAGTTAGTTAAAGTAATCTCTTAAAAGTGCTCATACGCCGCAGTTTAACAGAGGTGTTGAGCAGAGAGTAAGGGGATTGCCCCCGCCCGCGTCCCCCCTTGAATTTCGCATGTGCGAACTTCAACCATGACGCGACTTCCACAATACAGGTCCATAGAAACCCATGAATACAGGAAAGAGGAATTAGTATGCTTGAGACAAACTTTGGCATGGTAAAGTAAAACTATTTGGCATGCTTGTGAATGTCGTGAAATGTTTCAACCGCCTTCAGCCGCTTAACCGCCTGTAAAACTCATTTATGTATAGAATTAATAAACCCAGCAGGACAGTTCATATCAAATTCAAACATTGATGCAAATGAGAGGAGAAGCACCTTTTCCCCATCCCCCCCCCCGGCGCACTCCTGCGCCATTACACCGCGTGAACTTTCGTGGTTGAAGGACGAATGATATCGCTATCTTTCCACTCGACCACCGGAGTTCACCATACGTTTGATGAGAAATTTACCGCGGTACTCGTAAGATAGCGGCGTGCAGCTGCGCAGTAGAGCGATTCCACGGTCGATAAAAACACGCTGCCAAGCGGGAATTACGTCGCGCGGAGACAGAGCGAGCGGGAATTGCCTTGGACGGCATTTCGGCTAAGCAGCAGCGAAAAATGTATAGCTGAACACTTTGTTGCGCTGTCAGTGAGTGAGTCTAGTTTTATATTGCCGCTCGCAGAGAAGAGCGCAGCAATGCTTGCTGACAGTGATCATATTCCTGGAAAATTAGCGGTGAGACACTGGCCGAAAATAATAGGAGCTTTGGGAATGGGATAATCCTAAACAGATGCAGCAAAGCAAAACTATTTGTTCGCAATGGTTTATGACGTTATGTTTTATGGAACGAACGGCAAAAGTATTGCTCCGAAAAGCGACTTTGCAGCGTGAGCAAATCCCGAAAAACGAACACTGGCACTTTTGTGCTGTATCCGGGCCTCGCGCTTTGGACTGAAACGCTGCCAGAATGGATGTGCGGCTACCACGCTTGTCTCTCACACGGCCCATACCTTGATGATTTTTTTAAAACTTCGAAATATAGCTTAAACAGACGTATCATGTTGACACGGAAGTTACTGAGTGAATTAGAAGAATGTGCCATCGCATCCTTGTAGGATATGAGACAAAACCTTTTCAGTAAACTAAATATTTTCCATCTTTAATCTATGCAACTGTCATCCACCTGGTTCTTCCAACCTACGATCGGATCACCCAACATGGGCGGAATATCACACCATTCCGACCGGCAGTGGCAGCAGGCTGGCGCAGACAAAGAGTAACGAAAAGCAACGGGGTAGCCAGGCACTACAATAACTATATCACAAGAGTTTTGCAACAGGCTTTCGCGACATGGGTTGAAAGATATTGCGGAAGCAGCCACTGTTCTGAATACTAAATCCACGGAAGATGACGGGCTAGTGAGGTTCAACAGCACCATACGTAATAGAATAGCGTGCAGTATCGCGAAGTGGACTCAAATATTTTTCGCTGTTTTGTTTGTTTATTTTAGACGCTTACTGACCAAAATTTTCGCAGCAATGATGTCAATGGACTCGCTTACTTCCACTTCATTCCACACTGGTTGCACTTAAAGGTGAAGCCTACCATTCAATGCGCGCCACTGCTGACTGCGAAAGCCAATGTTCTGCACGTTCGGCATGGCGAATGCATTCTTCTGCTTTTCTAAACCGCACATCTGCAATGTTCAAAATATTATCGACCGCAGATGGCACGAGCCACGAAGCTTGTCACCCTTGTCTCAATCCGCGTAAGTAATCGTACAGATGCTGTTGGCGGCCTTATGTAAAGGCAGAGGATAGCCAAAGCGAGGTTGCGCGTGAGCAGAAATGCCTCCTTATGAGGGCATGCGCAATACGCTGGGTGTTGTTGGAAGAGATTGTGGCTCCCATGAAATATTCCAATTTATATTTTCTTGCTTTGAACGGCAAATCGTGTCAAAACGCAACTTTATAATCCCACCGTGTCCCAAATAGCTCCCACACGGGCCCTTTAGCGGCTTGTCTTTGACTGATGGCGTACTTACCTCTCACAACGATCACGCTCAGGCCCACAACTTTTCGAAGTTATTGCAGCGTTAAGTGGAAATGCCGGGAAAAAGACGAAAACCGAATGTGTCTTGACATTATGCCGCCAATTTCGCCACATTTGACCTAAAACTGATTTTCTGGCACCGTTTCTTGTTTAAGAAGACATGCATTCACCATGGGTACCTGATCTGCGTCTTGGGCTTGGCGACATCGATTCTGTACTCTTTCTTGCCGGCTCTGCGCACATGCAGTTTGCGGCCATGGGCTGCCAGTTTTTCCATTTCGTGAGGGTCCTGGAAGAAGCTCGACGGCACCTCGCCGCCTATGCACACCTGTTGGAGGTATTATTCTCAGAAAACAGGGCCGGACGTGCTCAGACAAATCGTCACAAACATTGCACCAGATTTTACATGAACCTCATGACACTTGGTCTCTAAGCATGGATTGTGCAAACGAAGATGCTAGGCGTGGAACTGAGTAGGTCTTTTTTGGCGTGCTGATAAGTCACACTCAGCGGGCATGGGCGGGCGCTCGCCGAAATTGCTGCTTTTGCATGCATCTCATCCAATAAATCGTTGTGCGATGGCCTTGACCAGCGTTGCCTCACCGTCGGCCGGTTGTACGGGTTCCCATCGGGTCCGATCAGTGAGCCGCCCCAGTGCTTTGGCAGCTGGTCTGGCTCCACCAGCTCCAGCAGCCGCTGCTGCCAGCCAGTATGTCCGAATATCTGTATCTTGCTCTGCGTGGTGCCACGCAGCAGCGGCCGGATCATCGACCAGGCCAGTGTGAACACTGGCGGTGCTGCAGATGAAAACAGTATTGACCGGGCCAGTGTGAACACTGGCGGCGCTGCAGATGAAAACAGTATCCACCAGGCCTGTGCGAACACTGGCGGCGCTGCAGATGAAAACAAGTATCGACCAGGCCAGTGTGCACACTGGCGGCGCTGCAGATGAAAACAGTATCGACCAGGCCTGTGCGAACACTGGCGGCGCTGCAGATGAAAACAAGTATCGACCAGGCCTGTGCGAACACTGGCGGCGCTGCAGATGAAAACAAGTATCGACCAGGCCAGTGTGCACACTGGCGGCGCTGCAGATGAAAACAGTATCGACCAGGCCTGTGTGAACACTGGCGGCGCTACAGATGTCACACGGTCAGGGAGGGGGGGGGGGGGGGAGCTACTCTGCTGCCATAGAGCTCACAGGGTTGGAAAGTGAGTGCAGGCGGTGCTACAGAGAGCACGGGGTCGGAGGCTCAGGGAGTGAACAGCACTGATGCCATAGAGGTCACAGGGTTGGAACTGAGCGCGGGCGGCGCAAAGGAGGTAACACGGTCAGAGAGTGAACTATGCCGACATCATAGAGGTCACGGGGATGGAGCGCGGGGCGATGGTGGCGCGGCAGAAGTCGCAGGATCATTGGGTATATGCTCTGAAATTCAGTCCTGACTGTGCTCTGACAAATGAAATCGTCTGCCAGACCCATAATAGGACGTGCACGGCCGAGCACACTGGCATAACGTCGATGGACAGGGCAAAACAGCGAGGCTCACTGCCAAAGCCTTGGACACCGAATTCATGCCAGCCGATGACTGCTCCTACATACTTGGGAAAAACGTTCCACCCCTTTTTAAAGATTTTCTCCGGACCCGTTGAATGGATGGATTTCTGGGGTCAGAGCTCACGCTAAGCAGTGCTTGTTGTGTGGGCCCTGACCCCTACCACCCGATCGCGCAATTCCACATGTCCACGGCAGAATTCGGCGGTGAAAGCTTAACGTGCCACAATGCTCGGCACGCTTGCTCCTTTGAGGGAGCAAGCGAGCCTCCCTCCTTGTTTCGGAATTGGGGCTTTTCGACGTTAGGTGACAGGCATTCACATACCACTTGTGACTTCCAGTGACCTCGTAAAACAATTTATCCCCGTTACATACGAGCTTGTTACCATCAATTGGTTATGAAGCTCACGACTCCCTACGCCTGCGATTTTGCGATCTATATCTAAGCTCTGGATGCCCACTCATTTGGCACCATGCTTACCATTTATCACCATGCAAACTCCCAAGCCTTCGGGATAGTTTGCTTCCATGATCCTCGTCATTTCGAGGAATAATTCAAAACCTGTGAACGGAGACCGTATTACGGCAAACGTGCTAAACAGGTTGTAATCAGTACCATGGGCCACTAACCCCACATGAATATGCTGTGGTGAGTAGCGAGGTGAAACCCCGTGTGTTGGGATAATGACGAAATCCATTCGCAAGCTGGTTACAAAGTGTGACTACACTGTCTGAGCGATAACACAGAATACTTAACCGCTACACCCTGTTCGTGGAGGTCGTAACAATGAACGGTGTAAGTTACGGACTATTCTCCTGCGGCCATGCACCAACTGCACCCCGATTCCGTGCTGTGGCTGATTTGTTCTCCGTTCTGCGCATTCACGATAACTAAATGGCTAGTGAACGGCTTAGCGATGTTTGTCACAAAACGCCGCCACGATTGTAGAATACACGTCATTGTGTGGTGCTTCATAATCACCGCAGATACATCACCGCTGAGAAAGTGCTAACCGAGAAAGAGCCCGTCAACCGCGCTGTTGTATCGCCGTCCTGCTCCGAATCAGCAGGAGAGATCACGACGCATGTGGCTATCGCAATTACAAGCGTCGCCAAACAACATTTCGCGACTCGTCTGTGTGCTGTCGCGCCGCGCCGCCCACCTTCTTTGTACGCCACCTGAGCCACGCTCAGACCCTCCAGGTCGAACAGCAGCAGGAACTGGTTGACGGGCACGCCCGTCTCCCGGGAGATGTTCAGCACGTGCCGGCCGCCCGTCTCGAAGCAGTAGAGCCTGCGGTAGACCCAGTGACGTCACAGTCCAGCGGCGGAGAGAAGCGCCCTCTCATCGCAGAGGCCGCAGTCGACGGCTGTTTACGTTACAGCGTCTGACAGTGGCTGGCGCACTGAAGCCGGCATTACCGTTGACATGTGATGAGAAGGTCGCCTCACATATTGTGCTGCTCAATTGGAATGTCACCTTAACGCAACGGGATAACAATAGTGAAAACCTTGTCCTGTGGACGTTTTCTGCTAACTTCACTACTGTTGTTTTGTTAACTTCACGAAGGTGTCCAGAGTAGACCAGAAACTAAAAAAGCCAGAACCACAAGAAAACCGGAATTGCATAGCTGCCATCAAACTGCATCCGGTGCGTGTAAATGAGCACCGGTAAAGGTGACATTTGGCAGTTTGAATCTGGTCATGGGGATCAAATTAACCCTCTTCGATCACTCCTGTTATCTCAAGTACTTACCATCCTACCACAATGTGTAATACGGCGTTGGATAGCTATTGAAAAATAAGTTGCCCGATGGGCGCTATAGGCCATCAACAGATATGACCTGTGACGTTATGCCATGTCAGAGAGGTGAAAGCTAGGTTTGTGTTGTTTGACCTGTGGTGTTATGCCAGGTCGGTGGGGTGAAGGTTGTACTGTTTGACCTGTGATGTTATGCCAGGTCAGTGGGGTGAACGCTAGTGTTGTGTAGGTGCGTCCGTGCATTAAATAACTAAACAAGCCACATGCTGAGGAAGATGGCGTTAGAAAGCCCTTTGAAAGCTGTAAGATAAAGGTTTGCTACGTAAAGGTTTGAGCTGCATGTCTTCATAACGATTGAATCTGAAGCCTTTGAATCAAAAGTCAAGGGTCAGGTTTAACGTAACTGGGTCTTGCAATTTGCAAAAGCAGCCTGAACAACAGGAGTGCACCACAGTGAAACAAAATCAAACACGTCGGTCTGTAAAAGTCTTGATAATATTTCCTTAGAGAACTATGCGTTACTTGTCCTTTTTGAGCAAAATGTGACCGATCTGTTTATAAAAGAGGACATAAGCCATCAACGATTAAGCTCATAAGCTTCAAGTTTTTGCGTGAGTAAAATATGTAAACTATTCTCCATTCCAAATATGTTCCGGAGAAAACCGTTGGGGCGAGAGCCCATTGTAGGGAGAGGGTTGAAACCAGTGCAATGAGCAACTGAAAGTGCAAGTGGATCCAAAATGGCGTTCCCAATCTGTATGAGTCTTTTCATCCTCAACAAAAGAATGAGCGATGTTAGTTGTCGTCTAAGCGCTGACTTACGCAAACTTAATGAAGTCCGTCTTCCTACACGAACGGATCAGGCCCCGGATGTCGAACTGTCCCAAGCAGCCGATAAACACTGAGGGCAACACGCGGCCGGCCTCAGTCGATAAACACTGAGAGCAGCAAACAGCCCGCCTCAGTCAATCGATAAACACTGGGGCAACACGCAGTCGGCCTCAGCCAGCCGAAACAAACGCGGACAACACACCGTTAGCCCCAGCAGACGAATAAGCAGTATGAGTGCCGACAACGCATATGAGAGATTGCTCAGGCGGTTCACGCCGCGAGCAACGCATTGCTGGATCGACAAACCGTGCCGGCAACACTAGCTGAGCTCAGTCAGCTGATAAACTCTACGGTAAACGCAGCATCGGACTGATGGGTAGCGACCGCAGCGCATCACAGATCGCAGTCATACCCTCAGTAGGCTGTAACGTGCAGGTGCGAGGATTGCGGGCGACGCACTACCGGTCCGGGTAAGCCGATTAACAGTGCAGGCAACACTCCGCCGGGATCAGTTAGCTCATGAGCGCCGCGGTTAACACACGCACATAACAGGCAGGCGGCCCAGCTAGCTGGGCCTGGCGCACGAGCAACACGCCAACGGACAGATCAACACTGTGGGCAGATTCATTTGGCTGATCAACACTGTGGGCAGAGAATCGTTTGGCTGATCAACACGGCGGGTTTTTGATGAAGGCTGTGGCCTCCATGTCCCGGCAGTCTGTCAAGGGGAGGTAGCGTGTCTAAAGAAAACCAAACGCACCACCTCAAACTTACCAATGGGCTCAGTGGTCGCCGGGCATCTATCGAGCGGCCATTGTGGCAGGGACACTTCAGTGGAGGTTTCACACTGCTCTCGCTTTGGCCTTCCCTAATTTTGCGAATTGACAGTATCGGACAGCTTCGGAAATATCGTTCCGTGAGATTCATCGGTACTTTATGGCAAGGCTATTACGTCGATTGTGTGTGTCTAGGTGTGTAGGTGTGTAGGTGTGTAGGTGTGTGCGCATGTGTGCGCGTGTGTGCGTGCGTGTGCGTGTGCGTGTGCGTGTGCGTGTGCGTGTGCGTGTGCGTGCGCGTGCGCGTGTGCGTGTGCGTGTGCGTGTGCGTGTGCGCGTGCGCGTGCGCGTGCGCGTGGGCGCGTGCGCGTGTGCGCGTGCGCGTGCGCGTGCGCGCGTGCGCGTGCGTGTGTGTGTGTGTGTGTGTGTGTGTGTGTGTGTGTGTGTGTGTGTGTGTGTGTGTGTGCGCGCGTGCGTGCGTGCGTGTGTGTGCGTGTGTAAAAGTGAGTGTTACAAAATTTAACCTCAGCAAAGTTTTAAAACGACCGTTGAATATCTCAGTTCTGCACGCATGCGTCGCATATATCATCGCAAAAAATATACTGAAGTGTGTTAGACGGCACATAGCAACACGACGCTCTCCGGCAACGGTTCCATTAAGAGGTGAGCGCAGTCAGCTCACGTGGCAGGCCGGCCTTGGACTTCCCATCGTAACCGCGCGGGAAGAACTCGAGGAGCGCCGCCGGCGGCTCCCACTCGTCTAGGATACGATTCACGCCGTGCCGCTCGCGCCACGCCATCGACTGAAACAGGGAGTGGAGGGGCGTGTAACTAACAGCCAAACGGGGAGGGGTGGGGAGCGTGTAACCAACAGTCAAACGGGACCCTACGGCCCGCTCTTTCAGTGCACCGGTTCACAGCTGTCCGAGGGCAGTGGTGAGATGCTCTGGCAACACTGGGCCACGCCGCCAGTATTCAGCCCTGCTGAAATCCACACAGATCGTCGAAGTTCACCCCGAGGCGACAGCGGCGGCATTCTCGGCGGCCGTGGGGCGCCGCCGCCCGGCGCCGCGGCCGGTCCGGCCGGCGCCGCGTGCGCCAGGCAGCGATGGGGCGGCCGCTGGGCGCCAGCCGAGAGCACGGCACGGCCGGCCAGCCGGCCGCCCTCTGTTTGGCCCTGACGGGCGAGCGGCACTCCCGGATGCGCCTGCTGGGTTACCATGTCGCTCCGTCGACACGCCGTCAGTTATCGATGTCGCAAAAAGACGGAAAACACTCTGAGTCGAGCATACGGACGCAGCCGGCTCTGTGTGTGATACATACAAGCTCAGCTGCTTGCGTAGGCATAAATGTTGTTCCTTTACTTTGTATTTCATAACTCTGTGGGCTGTTCTTCTTTGGATGGCCATGAAACATGGCTTTTATTTATGTATCACGTCGCATTAGCTTCATAACTTCTAGAATATTGCGGCCATTAAGCGTATGAAAAGGGGCCGGTGAGTAAGAGCGTGGTTGACAGTAGTTTATGTGAGGCATGTGAACCACTAGTGTTATTTTATCTAAAAGCACGTCGGCTTGTGTAAAAAATCTAGGCATATCTAACACGCACACTTGCCAGTAAGGTGCATCAATTCGTATTGAGGCGCGCATAGATAATACGACACGCGATTCAAGACCGCCGAATACATTAACGGCGGGCTCCGGGAGCAGCTCAGTTGGGTGAAACAGCGATGACCTTCTCGGCACGGAACCCGTCTGGCTCACGTCTGAACTGTGTCTCACTCGGCGTCGCACCCCAAGCACCTCTCCGTTCCACCGGTGGCATGGTAGACATACCGGGAATGCATTAGCGGCTGGCATTGTTTCCAAACGGACCTGCTGTCGGCATTATCGGCTGGTAATGTTTCTCCGGAGCCAATCTCAGCAAGCAGCAAAAACCCCGCAAAAAACAGTGTTTACACGAGGGGCCAGACGTATTCCAGGGTACAGTTTACAGGGAACAGGGGCGTAGTTTTGCAAAACAAGGTGGAGGCGGGTAGGCTGGGCTGGGAAAAATGGTGAACCTACGGCGATAATAAATTAAAACGGGTTTCTCCACGTCCACCTCCTTCTGGGGTCTGCCCCCCCCCCTCACCTCCCTCTTATACACATACGACTGCAAACGAAACTGCACTTGAGAGCGGAACGTGGAGGCGATGAAGGTACGCGTGAGAATTTGATTGTGACCGCTTTCCTGTATCGGGAAGATTGTTTTTCAGTTGTGTTTTTGGTCCACGAGGAAATTTTACTAGGCACTTCACCTACCCTTTTAACTTAACATGGCATAGAAACAAGCGGCGAAATATCAGCTATCCATGTTTAGAACAACATCTATCGCGTCATTTCATGAAGGTAGCAAGTGGACAAGTGAATATATAGCATTTAATACTCAGCAAGTGAATTTCCCAGCCTCACATAATGGCACCCCGAGCCCAAACTTAGAGGCCGTATTATCGGCACGTTATGTAGTGAAGTCGTCGGTGCTACGGCGGTGGGTAAAACGGTAATACATGACCACGGACACGCTGCACCTGTGATCTGTGATTGCTTATCGAAGAATGCTACTAGTGGCATGTGAAATCAGGACGTGATGGCGTCCAAGCCTAGTTTCTTTCAGATTTTATTGTAATTTTCCAGAACGAGCTTGATGCAATCACTGGAGAAAAATAACTGAAAGAGAGCCCGACCCAGTTGTCAAATTGCCTCAATATCTGTTGATGTAAGGTGTGGCCTGCTCTATTTGGTCGCAAAATCAACAGCATTCCTTATAACGTTTTACCCAAGACATTTGCTCCAGCTTGATCTCGGATGAACCAGCCAGAGCTGAGTTTTAAACTATATAATCTTTATGCAGTTTCGTTTCGGCCTAATTGCCAGCGTTTCTTGAAGATCTACCTTGTCTACCCCCTTCAAAATTTGGATACCGTTATCAGACCCCCTCTAAGTCTACGATATTTCCGTGAATACAAATGCAATGAATTAAGCCTATCCTTTATTCAAAGTTGCCAATCCCATCATTCATCGTAGTCACTTTTTACTGTACTCTCTCCAGACTATCTATAGTTTTTTGAAAGCATAGGGACTAAGCCTGTACACAATACTCTACGTGCGGTCCGACATAAACCAAATACAACTTTTGACAACATTCCTACTCATGTAATGGACATTGCTCTTTCTAATTCCCAGAATCTAAAGTGCCTTGCTCCTAGCAGTTCTACCTTGCTTTTCGACCTTTAAATCCCTTAAAATTATAACCCCCCCCCCCCCCAAGTCCTTTTCTTCCTCGATCTGGTCTAATTCTCAGTCTGCCATTGTATAACTAATGCATTCGCTCTCAGAACTATTTATATGCACCACTTTACAATTATTAAGATTAAATGGCATCTGTCACAGAGAACTCCATTTCACAAGTATCTCTTAGCCTAGTTCCACCTGGTCTGCATTTTTTGACGCCCCTATCAATTTAATGTCAGCGAATTTAAGCACCTTACTGTCTAATCCTAAAATCTAGTATATCTGGTTGGTACTACAGTAGCACTTGCCGGAACTATCATTATACATAGCTGGTTTCTGAGGTGTCACCAAGGTATGATTTTCAAATATGCCCCAAATACAGCACACCCACTTTAATGAACGAAGAAATAAAAAAAGTTCAAGGACGTATGTTCTGAAAGAAGACGAGCCGTCATTTACTGACATTACCTTCATGCAAGGATTACAATCCATGACCTTGGAACCTCAAAACTCTAGTATGATATGTCTTTGTTAAAGAAGTTTGGGGGTTTTGAATGAAATCTCCCATTGTCCGGGGATGGCTGGAGTCTGTGCTTGCCAACACCATTATGAGCTTGTTTTCCCAGAAAAAGTAGGATATCTAGAGTTTGCCAGCAGTTGTTCAGCCTCATGAGGTACTTAACCCTAGAACATAAGTATTTCTGCGCTTTTCCGTCAGCCATTAAGCCATCGACTAAAACACACACCGCCGAAAGTACTACTACTGCCTGCTCCCCGATGCCATAGACCCCATGCTAAAGCCAAGACATTGCAACGAATTGTTGCCTCGTGAGGCACAAGCCTCTCGCAAACAACGAGGGAACAATTGGAGATGTATTATCTGTTTACGTAACGCGCTAACAAATCATTTTCGTTGCGACACCCCACTAAGACGGGCGTAGGTTGGTAAACGCTGTACGCGACAGCGGCCGGAGTTTAACGTCGAATGAAACGTCAGGTGCTGCTTTTGGGCCGGGAAGTGATGAATATTTGTTACGAATGCAAAGTATGGGAATATTCAGAGGGGACACATAAAACAATGCGGAGGCTACATCATTGTGTTATCATGATGAGCTGTCTGTAAGGCATCGGATGTTTCAAATGTATGTACCACATTTTAAATGCCGATAGCATCCACGCGTTTGAAGTAAAGCAATGGAATCAGCGTGTTATGCAAAAATATTAGATATAAGCTGCGTTATTTTGCAAGGGAAAAAAGTAAAAGAGCAATGATCTATCTAGAACAAGTGCTCAATGTGCTTCCTTTTCGCTTAAGGCACACGTCGGCTCTGTGGATAGCCTCACGCACAAGCCTCACGTCTACCGACACATCCCCTTGACCTCGCCCAATAGCCTACCTGATTTTATCCGTGAGCTCCCACAGACCCTTTGGTCTTAATCCGTATCGTGTGCTTTGAGATACCCCATGACAAGGAATCTGGGATGTTCGGGCCAGTGGGTGCACCGGCCGCTTGATGGTATCCTGGAGATAAAGCGGACGTCCAGATGCTGTCTCTTGGCCACTGCAGTAAGTTGCGAGCCGCGCGACCGGTGACCCCGTCTTGCTGGACCCAGTGCCGGTACACGAGAGCCGTGTGACGGGTGACCTCGTCTGGCTGAGCCCAGTGCCGGTACACGAGAGCCGTGTGACCGGTGACCCCGTCTTGCTGGACCCAGTGCCGGTACACGAGAGCCGTGTGACGGGTGACCTCGTCTGGCTGAGCCCAGTGCCGGTACACGAGAGCCGTGTGACCGGTGACCCCGTCTTGCTGGGCCCAGTGCCGGTACACGAGAGCCGTGTGACCGGTGACCCCGTCTGGCTGGGCCCAGTGCCGGTACACGAGAGCCGTGTGACCGGTGACCCCGTCTGGCTGAGCCCAGTGCCGGTACACGAGAGCCGTGTGACCGGTGACCCCGTCTGGCTGAGCCCAGTGCCGGTACACGAGAGCCGTGTGACCGGTGACCCCGTCTGGCTGAGCCCAGTGCCGGTACACGAGAGCCGTGTGACCGGTGACCCCGTCTGGCTGAGCCCAGTGCCGGTACACGAGAGCCGTGTGACCGGTGACCCCGTCTGGCTGAGCCCAGTGCCGGCGCACGGCGCACGGTGCAGCACGTGCGCGCTCTGCGCGCTATATTATCAGCTATGTCAGTGATGACCCGTTTCAGGGTCACCCAGAAACAAATTCGGTACGGAGATGTAGCGCGCCGGGTTGACAGGTGGGGTCTCGCTCAGCGGTTCCTCGAAGACGAGGGAGCCGATCATGTCCTGCTCGTTGAGTGCTCACCAAGCAGCAGCATTAGGTGAATGACGCGCAGCCTCATGAACCTCGTGGGATGGGGTTTGACCCCAGAACTGATAGATCCGACGGCTAGCTCAGCCATGCATGCATGTAGGTGATGTACACCTGGGCGACCCTGAAGTAGTCTGCGTGAAATAGTTTGCACATCTTTCCGGCTGTGTAGCTCAGAAACTAGAGGGTTTTAAGTCTTAAAAGGAATGCTCTACATTTGAAGATATTGAAGGAACCATATATATATATATATATATATATATATATATATATATATATATATATATATATGATAAATGCATGATGAAATAGCATCGTTTAAAACCTTTGTGTACTTTTGAGAAGAAAAGACCGCTCTGTAAAACGTAATTTCTCTGTTTAGCAAATATGCTCCTTGTTTGTTTGATTATGTCATCGTACCTTGCAAACATTGATTGAGAGCCAACTGGCGGCCGTAGTATCTGGAAATCGTGCGCACAAACGCCAGATATAAAGGACTCAACAATAACATTTTTTTTACCTTTATCGCCGCACGGCTAATGGGATGGTAGGATTTGAATAACCTTGTCATGGTGTTAAGGATGCCTGGGCAACCTTCGAACAGTCTCCCGGAAATAATCTGCACATGTTCGCGGGCGTGTAGCTGAAAAAGTGGAGGATTTGTGTTGTGAAAAGGAAAGGGATGTGAACTGCACCGAATGATCTTCAAGATGGCTATTGCAGTTCAAAACTCTCTACGAATGTGGAACACTCCTTAAAGAAGAACAGTGCTGTGAACCACACCGAATGACCTTCAATGTGATTATTTCAATACAAAAGTTCATAAAAGTGTGGAACTCTTCCTTTAAACAACAAAAAATATGAGCCTAAGGGCTGGAGGCCGTCCCCCCCCCCAAATTGGCTGCGCCCCTGGTGTCACGCATTCGCAGCCTTCCAGACAGAGCTGGTTGCAGGAATATGACGTAGTGTAAAACAGCATTTTAAAATTGTTTGGCAACATCTCCTTTGCCTTGGAAATGAGGCACTGCAAACATTTATAGTGATGCCTTGTATATTGCCCGCGACAAAAATTCCATGTGAAAACTTGCATCAAAAGTTCTACCACAAATGTCACTTGTTTTCTGAGCTGATTACATTTTAGAAGCTAAGGTAAATGTATAGCATGGAAGCCGAGGAGTTGTAACTACGTTTAAACCTACAGTCGTGCAAGCCTGCCGTACCCTATTAATTCTGAAAGACGTCTAGGTCTTATGTGTGGTTCCGGCTATGAGCTTTTAGGAAAAGTGTACTTTTAATTGGATTCATGCTGAGTTACGCTTAAGTAATAGTGATGCTGCTGGCGTTTTCTCCCTATTTGTATAAATTGTCTACCATGGTCTCAACGACAAAAACAAAAAGGAAAACATTCTGAGCTTGGGTCAGATCAATATCTTAAAAATCACTTATTAAGAGAGCATACGTACATGTGGAGTCTGCATCCAGGTGTAAAAGCGTCGCTTGTGGGGTAACCGGCTGAAGCCGGAAACATAACAATTTGACACCTTGTATTTGTAACAAGAGTTTCAATTCATAACAAGCTATTAGCTCTGCAGTCATCTTTTAAAAACTATGTTGTGTTGGTCATGGTCCATAGTCAATCCTTTCAAACGTGATTTGATTTGATTTGATAGACTGGCACCAAATTGGTGAGCCCCCTGGCGTTGACAAACGGACACAATTAGTGATGGGCAGCGATGACATCAGCTTTGATTCCACTCGCCCATTTTGACTGGGTCGGCCAATCGCGGGAGCCCAACAGTCGCGATGCCGCATCAAATGCGGCATATCACACCTGACCGACCCGTGACGGAGCTGCGTGGTACACAACAAATGGCAACGCTCATCCGACGGCGTGCCGCGCTCGATCTCCATCCGGGAAATGAGACGGCGGACTGAGGCCGGACATGGGCGCCGCTGACAGCCGCCGTGTCATTGCCGGGAGAGGGGGAGGAGGGCGTGCCAGGGAAGGGAGGGAGGAGTGGTGACATCTGTCATGCCGAGGCCCTAAATCTACTTGAGCCCCACTACGGAAGAACGAGATAGCATGCGGGCCAGGCCTTTGCGCGGCCGCGTCCCGGGCAGAGCAGTCCGCACTGAGGAGCGGTTGATCAAGCCATGGCTCAGCTCAGTGGTGTATTCGCGGCGCACAAAGCGTGTTCCATTCTGTGTAATGTCACGTAGAATCTTTCCCGGGCGTTTTCACAGCGCAACTCGTTTCCTGTTTACACTTTCGTGACTGTAGCGACAATAACTGCGCATGCAGAGACATGGGGTTTTTGTTCGCAGGCGCTATGAGTGTTCCTAAGAATGGAAACGGCAAATAAGGTTCTTTCTACTGTATGAACCTATTTTCATCGCTCGTTACCGGTCCTGGGCACGCAAATTGACCTTTTTGTAACCGAATCTGTTACGCCATTTCCATCTCACTCCGATCGAGTCGCAAGAAAAGATTCTGTGCGACCGTCAAAGATTCTACGTGATGTCACGTAGAATCTTTGTCGTCCGGTTCGCCGCGAACACCAAACGGTGCAAAATATATGGAGTATGATGTCATGAGCGACGTTATGAGCGTCGACAGTATATATTCTGTGCCGTTCGGGTCACTGCAAATGCACTCCAGGGCGTGTCTGACCCTGACCAGACTTATACGCGGGGTGAAAAGTAGAATATACATAAAGGTCTGGGATGAAGCACTTATTACATAGTTGGTAGCAATCTGGCTCGCTCACGGCTGTAGCTACCACAGAATACCATAATAAGATACCTTACATTAGCGAAGCAATGCGCTTTTCCCCTCAAAGGCCCTTGTGCTTCCATCCCAGGGGAGGGGAACCCACCTACCTTTCTCATCATGTCCACTGCACAATCTAGGTCGAAGCTCCGAGCTGAAAGAAAACAAGAACTAATATGAGAGGCGAAACGCAAGCACAAGCCGGTGAAATGAGAGTGATCCTTGCTACTTCGAAACAGAATGTGCACAACGTACCTGGATCAGGCGCGCCAGATTCGTAACGCGAGTGTTTTTATTACATAACCTTTCATGAACCCAGTCATCCCACTTGGAAGCACGATTACCCATGATTGTTCATCCGGGCAATTGCCACCATTAGCAAAATTCATTTTTCAACAATAATTGCCTCAGTGTTACCCACCAGCTGCCAAAATACTTCTCATCAGACGGTCAGCATATCACTGCCGCAATAATCCGCATGAGAAACTATGATCACTTATTTTGAAAAAAGTGCTTTTAGTGACTCTACAAGGATCCAGTCTAATCCACATAACACTGTGGCTTCCGCGCGCATGAGGGAGAAATAAGATAGGACGTAATCTTGATCTTGTCAGCATCGCCGAGGCCTACTGATAACACATCGCTACGAATCGATGAGAACCCTCAGATATGTCTGTTTTGTCCTTGACTAAAGGCCCAGCCCGATGATGCTGGTAAGCAAACTTGAAGTGAGATGGTGCTGCTGGTTTGACCGACCTTTCACATCTCCGATTTCAGAATCATTTGCTTATTTTAGACTTTGACTGGCCAAGGTGACTTCCAGAACTATGCATCAACGTTGACAAGTTGTTCCTCGCGTTCCCGCGGACGATTTCTGCGAAGCTTCCAAAGGTGTCACACTCCCTTTCATTGCAAAGATCAAAGCAGACAAAGGCCATCTGTGAGTTTTCCCATGGCCGCTGCCCGCTTAAGCTGCCCATGCCGGAATAAGCAAGGCTCTGAATACACCCCCTTCACATCCATGCACCTCTGATCAGCCAAACCCGGGCACTTCAGCCCGGTTATTCTATTTGCAGCAGCCTCCCGCCCATTTGATGTGCTCCCAGCGCCATATGACTTCAAATGGTGAGCAAATATCACATGCATACACATGTGCATGACCGAGATACGCAAGCATGCTGACGCGAAAAGACGATATTTAGGAGGATTTAACATATGCATAACGTTAGCGTGCGTTGGAGACAAAATTAAACACTTACTTCGATTTACCTATGTGGCATACTATACGCATACATAAGCACAGGCAACATGCCTATTAGGCAACGATTACGCTGCCTATGACAGTTGCGTTTCTGTGATAAATAAAGACAGACAAAAGCGATGCAATACCAGATGGACAGATTTTCTTGAAAGACAGCGGTGGACGGTATGACCAACAATTCAGAGCATTGGAGAGAACCCCTTCTAAGACGCGAAGAAGTGTGGGAAACGTGATCACCTGGCGGCAACGGCTCAGCACGCTCCAGCGACGGCACTGTGCGACTGTTGGAGTACGGCAGCGGGGCGTGAGCCGTCAGCTGCCGACGGTAAGGCCGACTACTCACCGACCAGCCATGACAACAGGCCTGTGTCGCGGTGTGGCCGGTTACTCACCGACCAGCCATGACAGCAGGCCTGTGTCGCGGTGTGGCCGGCTACTTACCGACCAGCCATGACAGCGGGCCTGTGTCGCGGTGTGGCCGGTTACTCACCGACCAGCCATGACAGCGGACCTGTGTCTCGGTGTGGCCGACTACTCACCGACCAGCCATGACAGCAGGCTTGTGTCGCGGTGTGGCCGGCTACTCACCGACCAGCCATGACAGCGGGCCTGTGTCGCGGTGTGGCCGACTACTCACCGACCAGCCATGACAGCAGGTCTGTGTCGCGGTAGGGCCGACTACTTACCGCCCAGCTATGGCAGCAGGTTTACGTCGCGGTGAGGCCGGCCACTTACCGACCAGCTATGGCAGCACGTTTATGTCGCGGTGTGGCCGGCTACTTACCGACCAGCCACGACAACAGGTCTATGTCGCGGTTGTAGGGAGTGCTGTCGCAGACGTCGAGCACGCGGGCCTTAAACTGAAACATACCGACGCACTGTCATCATGTGAGCGCTCACCTGAGGGCTTCAACGCTTCTCTTCGCAATGAGTAGGCCACAAGAAAGCTCAACACGATAAATGCATAGACATCACCACCTTTCAACACAACATCGCTGCTCTCTGACTGACTTTCTGACTTTTGACAGGAGACGAAGTCGCAAAACAATAAAAAAGACACTTGAATACAAAAGGAATGATGGATAATGCGCTCCATAACTGGCGTTCCCGTAAATGAGCATCGCTATGCCGATTCCCCACGCGTCCTCCGCTGCACCCCGGTAAGGCAGGGAGTCACGGAGGCTGGGGAGGGGAGCAGGGGCTGACCGCTGCACCCCGGTAAGGCAGGGAGTCACGGAGGCTGGGGAGGGGAGCAGGGGCTGACCGCTGCACCCCGGTAAGGCAGGGAGTCACGGAGGCTGGGGAGGGGAGCAGGGGCTGACCGCTGCACCCCGGTAAGGCAGGGAGTCACCAGGGCGGGCAGCACCCTGCCTCCTTGGTAAATGGCAAGAGGGGTTTTTGCTTTGTCACTCTCGTGGTGCTGCCCTGGGCGCCTCCCAGAGGCAGTATATGCCATGGGACCTCAAATACGAATGTTACGAGCCAAAAAAGAGGGAAGAAATGAATGGAAGGGGTCTCTTCAGGTTACATGAGTGAGATGGACTTCAAAAGGTACAGTTTAAGTTTTATGGTTTGACGTGTAGTACAGATTAAAAACAAGTGTCCAAGTGGCAAGAACAATTGTGACACGCTTAAAGATTTTCCTGCGACGCCCCGCTAAAATGAAACAAGGCATTGCCTACGATATCTTTATCGCCATTACCTCGGACAGGTAACCAAAATCCTTTCCATGGGGCCAAATGTCAGATTCATTCCAAAACCCTTCGAATTTGGGCAAAATTTCTGTAAATGAGTGTGTTAAGTGCCTTAAAATGTGATGCGTGATAGTTTGAAATCGTTCGCATGCATGAGTGGCACAGTCCGCCCCCTCCTCTTCGACGATAGCGGACTGGCCCTCCCCGTACCCCTCTCTATCGGTGACGCCATCCCTGTATGACGTACCCTACATATCGCAAGTGGGTAAGTGAAGGCCAGTGAAGGTTTCTCCGGCCATTCGAACTTGTTTTGCGCCCACTCTGATTGTCTGCAAGACACTTGGCCTGTTCTTAACACAGTTCCAAATAATCAAGCGATTGATATCCAAGGTAGCCGGAACGGGCCAAGAAAAAGCTGCAGCGGCCAGTCGAGCGTACTTGGCGAGCTGTAGAACCGGCTAGCTTATCCCAATGTCCAGCTACGAATCCAAGGACCGTGGAAACCCAAAGAAGTTTGCTGCGCACCACGAAACGTTTCAAAGCTGTCCACCCAGACATTGCGTCATTGAAACGAGCTCCGATGTGTGCAGCACGATTTTGCAGGGAAGCGCGCGGAGCCAGTTGAAGTGGAGTAGCACGCAGAATGCCAACCATGCAAAGCGTACCCACATCCCTAGGCCTCGCGATGGTCTTGCTATCCTGTGTCCGTTGTGCAGCCTAGCAGGACGCATACCTTCCACATGCTGGCCAATTGGAGCAAAGGTTCTGTGTTATGCACGCCCTTGCTGCCCGTAGCTGGGGCTAATACTGAGCATGAAGCAATAAAATAAGTTATTTGGGACGTCGGCGCTATTTAATGGCCAACACTCCTAACCCATCACACAAACATTTCTTACTGGCTCCAGGTCATTCGCACGTCACTAGCTCCATGTCATTCGCATTTCACTGGCTCCATGTCATTCGCATTTCACTGCCTCCGCGTGGCTAGTGGCACTTCACTGGCTCGGCGTCGTCGTTGACCGGCACTCCCTCCGATCCCCCCGACTGACGGCCCCACTGCGCCGGCACCGCAGCGCCACAGCCCCGAGTGGCCGGGCCGGTACTCAGCCTGTGTGACGCCTCACTGACCCAGAGTCGGCCCGGCGCACCGGCCCGGCGTCCCGGCCCGTCGCGGCAGTGAGATCGGCTGGCGGTATCGGTGCTGAATGCAGACCAGGTCGCCGTCAGGAGAAGGGCCACGTCCCAGCCGCTACACCAGCTCAAGAACAACAACAGCTGCAGAGCTCACCGCGTCGTGACCAGCTGCAGCAGCTGCTGCAGGGGAGCGATCAGCGGACAGCTGCTGCAGTTGATATGAACATGTGACCAGCTACAGCAGCTGCTGCGGGGGAGCGGTCAGCGGACAGCTGCTCCCGCTGACCTGAACCTGACGTGACCAGCTGCAGCAGCTACTGCAGGGGAGCGGTCAGCGGACAGCTGCTCCCGCTGACCTGAACCTGTCGTGACCAGCTGCAGCAGCTGCTGCAGGGTAGCGGTCAGCGGACAGCTGCTCCCGCTGACCTGAACCTGACGTGACCAGCTGCAGCAGCTGCTGCAGGGTAGCGGTCAGCGGACAGCTGCTCCCGCTGACCTGAACCTGACGTGACCAGCTGCAGCAGCTGCTGCAGGGTAGCGGTCAGCGGACAGCTGCTGCTGTTGATCTGAGCACGACGCCTCCGTTTCGGCAGGTCTCAAGCGCCACGCATAGCATAAGCGAGTGACTCACATCCGCATGATCCCAGAGCCGGTTTCCTGCTTTCACGATTATCCCGTGAGGATTCCTGGAACAGTGTGCTTCGTAGGAACCCGTCCCGCCGCAAGCGAGTGTTAAAGTCGTGATGTGAAGCTAGTGAAGCTAAGCTAGTGAAGTTAGTGTTAGTTGACGCCCAAGCTTTTCATGGCCTCAAAGGCAAATAATGTTTTAAAAATTGACATTACCCTGCTGCGCTCCTATTTGTGGCAATCTTATCACATAAAACGGCGCAGCTACCTCTCCACAAATAGGTCTCCGGTTAGTGGCATGGTTCATACATCCAGAATTGACAGCATGAAGGCAAATTCCTAAGCCGTTTGAGGCGTTCAAATAACCTCAGGCATCAATACCACTGCACCAAACTGTGGGAAAAGGCCTCAAACTGGAGAGATCGGCATGATTGCAACGCCCAGTGTGCCAGCAAAAAGCGACCACGCCACCCTTCTTGCGAAAATGCTACTTTCGCCTGAAATGAAAGCATATGTGAGGTACGCGAGACCTCCAGATACAGCCACGACCCGCATAGCCGCTGCGGGACAAAAACCCTGGCGACATCGGAGACTGGGGTTCCTAGACGACATAGTCTATGGATGGGTTGTGGTAGTCAGTCTGTCTGTCTATTATGTTTGTGGGTGTGGATGAGGATGTGGATGAGAAGTTGGCGGAAATCGATTTTGCAATATTACTGTATGTGTCCTTTAATATGTTGCTTATAAACTATCAAACTGCGTGCTAATTTGCGCAAAGATGGTTAAAGTGTGATATCCTTCTTAAATGGATGAAATGCAGTATTGGTTTGCATGCAGCAGTGCTTATTGTGAAAAACAAACGCAAATAGTACGCGGTAACCATGCCAGGATGCCGCATTCACGTTAGCTGAGTCTTGCCACAAACGCTTTTGTTGCTATTGTGGAGAGCTGTGCTACTCGGTACTGACACTGGTGAGCGTCTCCACATCGACAAAATTATAATGCCGTCCTGATGTGACGTGACCGCCGTGACTGCGGCGGGACCAGAGGACCGTTTACCGGCCGGCTCGCCACAGGTCACCATATGGGTGCTTCTGCCTGCGCCATGCTGAGCAGCCTTATTCAAGACGCGAGTGTGCGGCCATGTATCATGAAGTGGTGGTGCCTTACTGGCATGCCTTTGTTATCGGTTTATATAACGTAAATGATCCATTCAGCGTGAAAACAAGCTTTGTTTCGTTGGGCACGTAGCCAAGATATTTCAAACACCACACCCTAGCGCCACGAACACCGCTGGAGCAGATCACCGTGGTGTTCCGAACACCACGCCACAGCTTGGTGGTGCTACAAACATCCCACGTTAGTGATTTGCACACCATCCTCGTTGCGCCACTTCACATCGGTCCAACGACATGAGTGGTACAGTTAAAGCTCTACCGACAGGAGTACTACGACATCATTTCTACTGCCAATGCTTATACACGATATTGGTGCTACGCGGCAGCACTCATATTACAAGAATGCATGCTAGTCATTACTTCTACTGCACACTACACACCTTATTTCTAACACCTTTACAGTCGTTTCTCACACACGACATTACTTGTACTGCAAAAACTTATGCACGACAGAAGTGCCACACGACAATGCTTTTACCTCAAAAAATGTTTACTCATCATTACTTCTACTGCGTAAACGTATGCAGCTGCTACATATAAACGGCATTACTTTTACTCCAAAGACTTATACACGATATCAGTGTAATCGATAAAACTAATGTTTCAAAAATTATATCTGTCATTACCTGTGCTGCAAACACTTGTACAACCGTTGTTTATACACGGTACTACTTCTAAAGCAAAAATTTACGCGCGACATTGGTGCCACATCACACAGCTTATGTTTCAAAAGTGTAAAATTGCCATGGCTTCTACTGCAAAAGCTTGTGTAGTCTTTTACGTATATGCAATATTGCTTCTACAGCTTATGCTTATCGTGGAGTTCAAATTGCGATGACACCTGGTAGGGGTGTAGGAACAGCTCACGGGTTAGGAGGGCACCCCAGCTGGGCAATGCTGCCATTAAATGTCCGTGGTGTTGATACAAAAACTTATTTATGTATTATAGACATATAGACATATAGATATGCAGACATATAGACATCAGGCCAGCAAAGAGCCAAACGGGCCCATCATGGTTGGCCTACCCTAGATTACTCATCCATCCTTGAACCTATCTTACCACCTAACCTGCATGAATTTAGCTATAAATGAGATCCTTAGACTTATTTTATATATATATATATATATATATATATATATATATATATATATATATAGAAACTGTCCAAACGATTCTTAAATCTAGTTAGGGAGGGACTTCCTACAAGTTCATTTGTCAGTCCA